GAGGTGTCAGAGGGATTAGGTAGCAGGCATCAAAATATTACACTTTCATGCTGCAGGTGGAAAATGGGATATAGTAGGACAGGCAGAAAGAGCAATTAAGAAAGAAGTCATTTGTAGAAACTGAGGAAGATGTGATACTGACCTGATGATCTATGGTGGTATTGGGGCAGATGCAGAAGCTAAGACATACGTTCAGAAGTACTCATTTATTGCGTGTGGAAAAAGGGAATTAGGAGTGACTATTCAATATATGACCTGAGTAATCATGGGCCTGCCAGGAAGCTCTTGAGTTGTTGGACTTTTTATTCTATGAAACCAAACCAAATGCATTACTAAACTCAACTTAGACTCATTGCAAGCCCGTGTGTGTCAGAGTAGAAATTGCACTCCACTGGGACTCTTATGATGCGTATGTTAAAGATCATAAACCAGGCTTGGGTAGGTTAAATAACTCACCAAGGAACACCTGACTCTGACACACTTGGGATTGAGACAAAGTTTTCCTTCCCCAGAAAGAGCTGCAGTCTCAGAAACCCACAGGGGCAATTCTGCCCTGTCCTTTGGGGGCGCAACAAGTCAGAATTGACTCGATGGCAGTGAGTTAAGGGACACCTTTGTAAGTAGCAAAGCCAGGATTTAAACCTCAAGTTGTCCCGCCTGAACTCTTGAACTCCCGTTTCATTATTTATAATAATTATTACATTCCGTGGCAAGGCCTTAAACTACATCGACATCCTTTTCAAGTTTTCATTTTCTTTTTTAAGGGGTGGGAAGCTCTATTGCTTTAAAAACACAAGTTTAGCTAAACCCTCTGTAAAAAGAACTCCCAAATACGATGATTCAGTGCAGACGGTAGTTTTAGCCACAGGGTTACCCAGAGGGAGGGGATGTCATGTCAAAGAGATATATCTTTGACAGAGTAAGCATATGGTAATTATTACAACTAAACTAAAGAAAAAATTAATGAATTTGACTATTTTTTTAAATCCTGTATATCAATGTCTTCCATGAATAAAATTGAGAGACAAAAAAATGAAGTTAATGTGCATAGTATTTATTTAAATAAAGTTATCTTATCAATTGATAAGGTAGAATGAGCAGAGTATGTTCAATAACAGCAACAAAATGACAAGATAAATCTAAGGAAAAAGAGTTTAACCCTATGGTAATTGAAAGGCTGCATACTTAAAAGGAGATATGGTCTTTTTTTTT